GATGATGATAATGATAATAATAATATAAAATAATAATAATAATAATAATAATAATAATAATAATAATAATAATAATAATAATGTGGTGATAATGATGATGATGATGAAGATGGTAATGATAATAATAACAATAATGATAATAATTAATAATAATAATAATAATAATAATAATAATAATAATAATAATAATAATGATGATGATGATGATGATGGTGGTGATGATGATAATGATGATGATGATGATGATGGTAATGATAATAATAACAATAATGATGATGATGACAGTAATGATAATAATAACAATAATGATAATAATAATAATAATAATAATAATAATAATAATAACAATAATAATAATAATAATAATAATAATAACTTTCTAAAAAAGAAAGATGATACTTCTTATGTTGGGAATTTTTAGAGGGTCTAGTTTCAACATGAAAGGAATCAAGCCCTCGGCATGTTGGCGCTTTTATTATATTATTATGCATTTCAGCTTGTAGTGAGGACATGCGTTGGTTTTGCAAGCAATCTACTTTAGTTCAAAATTTGAGAATTTTCTTCTTGTTTCTCCCCTCCCCCCAAATTTCTATCAAAGATACACCTTTCAACATCACCAAGATGCAGTTAAAAGCCATGGTCAAGGCTTACCTTTTTCTTGCTTTTCGTGATTATTGAGAGGAACAAAAAAATAACAAAAACTAGTTGTTTACATTTTATTTTGGTCTCTAGTGCCGAAAGTACCCAAACTGACTTACGCGGATTGCCTGCGATACCCACTATACGTAGCGTGTAACTCCAGGAAACCTAAACATTGGAACACCTAATAAGGCGATCAACCAACAATAAGGTCTTAGAACGACTGGCTGTTTGCACAGTTTTGGTTTTGAAAAATTATTTTCGCTTGTGGTTTATTTTCTTTCGGATTTTACCAGTGCCCTATTTGGGAACCCGAAAACATTTATTCGTAACATAGTACACACATGCAGGAAAACATTTATTCATAACATAGTACACACATGCAGGAAACCTTTTAGGGTGACATAGTACACACATGCAGGAAACCTTTTAGGGTGACATAGTACACACATGCAGGAAACCTTTTAGGGTGACATAGTACACACATGCAGGAAACCTTTTAGGGTGACATAGTACACACATGCAGGAAACCTTTTAGGGTGACATAGTACACACATGCAGGAAACCTTTAGTAATAACGTAAATCACACCCAACCAGAAAACCTTTAACGATGACGTATTACACACAACCAAAATATCTATATTGATGACGAAGTGCACACAAATTTCTAGAGAACCTTTAGCCATGACGTAGTACATACAACCTTAAAAAAATCCCCTACGATAGTCATGACGTAGTACACACAACTAGAAAACCTTCAGTCATTACGTAGTATACACAAAAAGAAATCGTTTTGTTATAACGTTGTCCACACAATCAAAAAAGAAATCCCCGAAGATAGTAATGACGTAGTGCACACAACCAGAAAACCTTTAACAGTGACGTAGTACGCACAAACAGAAAACCTTTAGTCAGGGGCGGCTCGTGGGGCTTAAAAGTGGACTTTCACAATTAAGCTATCGCATGCTGAAGATAGTCAAGGGCATAGGACATGCGATGGTGTATAATTTTAGGATCTTTAGGCTGGTGAGGGAGGACCTCGTGTTTTTATTTTCATTCTTTTAATTGCCGCTTTTGATTCCTATTACTAAATTTGTTTCTTAGCTAAACATCAATTTCATTCATCATGTATTGGAACTTAACACTCAAGTAATAACTTTCACTACTCCATTACAAAACCATTCAATGGCACAACTCATAGGATCGTCACGTTCACCCCCCTTAGGTTCACGGTCTTAGAGTCACTTAAAATAGTGGCAAGACAGACAATGAACCAATCACAATTCACTTGAGCACTGCGCTGGATTGCTCCGGGGCTCACATAATATTGGCAAAGAATAGTGTACGGTCTATCGCGTTTATTTTTAGACTGCCTACTGTGGGTTTTATGTTTCGGCACTATTCGGCAGGCGCACATTTGAGATGTGCCGTCTTATTAATATTAATGTACCGCCAAACTCGCTACGAGTGTCGTCATCGCTTGGGTTATCCCCAAGAGCGATTTATAGGTCAGGTTACGCTGTTGAATATCCTGTTATGTTTAGCTAAAGCGCATGGACTTTGATATGGCATAGTAGATGTTTTACGGCGCTATAGACATGGAAATGACAGTTATGGCGCCAGTGAGGACCTTGTTTTGATATAATATTTGGCTAGTGTTTGTTTCTGGCTTCTTTTATTTTATTATTGT